AGCTACTTATAAACTTCTAGCGCGTAACTGACACGTTGATCGTTATGTTGAGAAGCGTAACTGACTCCTTGAATTTAGCCTACGTGGGCTGACTGGGTCTTCAAGGCCGTTAGAGTCGAGCCTCACTTGGTGAGACGAGCTTCGCTGCGTGGCGAGGTTCATTAGATGAGATGAGCCTCAATGCGGCAAAATGAGCTTCGCTATATGTTGGGCTTCGTCTTTGATGGTCGAGTCCAGGTGCGTAGCAAGCCTCATGGACTTCTTCTGACGAACTTCGTCTTCTACAAAAGCTTTGTCTTCACTGACGAGCTTCGTCTCCTGAAGGATAAGATGTTGAGAGCTTGTCTCTAGGCAAACTTCGTCTTCAATAATGAGCTTTATTCTCTGAGAGGTGAGGCACTGGTTGACGAGGTTCGTCTGCGGATGGACTTCGTCTCTTGAATGAGCTTCATATTCTAGAGAATTTTCGTCTCTAGGAAAACTTCATCTTCAATGACAAACTTCGTTTTCGATGATGAGCTTTGTCTCCAATGACGAGCTTGTTGGCTAAGAGGATGATCATCATGATGACGACCCTCGTCATGCTTATGGCGAGGTTTGACCCTACTTTATTTCTTAGTAGTTTTTAGTGCCTACAAGACCCCCTTCAAAGTTTTCAGACCTGAATTGGGTTGTATGGGGTCTAAAATACTTTGAACCTTCTTGGCTACGACAAGCTTGATTTGCATGGCGAGCTTGGCCTCTTGGTGAGCCTGGCCTTTGGAGGTGAACTTCGTGGTTGGAAGCGACATTTGTCGTTTCTAAGCTAGCTATGATGCTTCAAGACGAGGCTCGGCTATTTGTTGAGTCTCGTCGCTCCACGCGAGCTTCGTCAGACACATGTGGGACTGACAATCAGGTTCTATCAGCATTAAATGTTGTACGCCTTCATCATTGCTCTTTTTCAGGCCCTGATTGAGCCTTACAAGGCTGCTCTCGCTGAGATCCAAGCCAAGTTAGCGGTAGCGAAAACAGATCTAAAGGCGGTTGTAGAGGTATAGCAGACACTAGCGGCCAAACAGGAGGAACAACATATGTCACTTCAGGCTGAGCTTAATGAGTTAGAGAGGCTGGAGACTGCCATGAGCAACATGGTGATGTGCTCTGATGATGAGCTGCGCAGGAAAATGTTGGAAAAGACTGAAGCGGAGCACCGAAGGTCATTAGACGAACTTGCGGAATAGCTTCACAATACCGTCTGATTCCTCTAAGCTCAATTGCTTTTATGTAACCCAACCCTTGTTCCAGCAACTATGATTATATTATGAATAAAATTATCATTTAATCCATCGATTTTTTTCTTATTTGCACCATCAATAACCAAGACTTAGGATTTTTAGCAAACTCTCAACTATCAACAAACTTGATATGTATTTACCAACTGTCATTTGAGTTGGACTAGCCATGCTTTTTCCCTTAGCATGATAAGTTGTCGAGGTGTTTTTTTAGGCTTAATGTTAAAATTTCTCCTCTATCCTTAGCCATTCAACGCGTTGGATTAAGCGTTGAAAATGATTACAACGGTTAAGTTATAATCAAGTTTGGTTGTGTTGTTCAGTGTAACAGCTTAACCTGGAAATTTGAAAGCAAGGCTCATCGCATAATAGCCTGCTATTTCAAGAAGTGATCATTGCGGGAATGACCGGAGGAGTATGATGATATCGTTAATACAATAACAATCTCAGATTTAAGCAGTGACTCATCGCTTGGTAGGTCACTATTTAAAAATAAGGAGATAAATAGGGGCACATCACTTGGTATGCCACTATCTTGTACAACGTTACTTGCAGGAATGATAATGTAGAAATAATCAAGTCGTTTAGTGACATGGGAGTATAGCGACTATGGTTGGAATAGATGCACATCACATGGTAGGCCACTATCTTCGATCGCTCTAAGGAGATCGAACGTTCGGAAAAGATCAGATACTGAATCATCGCATGGTAGATCACTGTCCTGATCGAATGACTAGTAGGAGCTCATCGCATGGTAGGCTACTACTTGAACAACGTCATTTGCAGGAATGACGGTGTGGAAATAATCAAGTCATTCAGTGACATAAGAGTATAACGATTGTGATTGGAATAAAGGCAGATCACATGGTAGGCCACTATCAATGAACAACGTCATTCGCAGGAATGATGGTGTAAGAATAATTAAGTCGTTCAGTGACATGGGAATATAACGATTGTGATTGAAATATAGGCACATCACATGGTCGGCCACTATTTTTGATCGTTCTAAGGAGATATAACATTTAGAAAAGATCAGATAGTGAATCATCATATGGTAGATCACTGTCCTGATCGAGTGACAAGTAGGGGCTCATCGTATGGTAGGCCACTACTTGACAGAGTATTTTCAATGGACGTTGAAGAGTTGACTATTAGAGGTAATTATTAACATGATAGTATTTTGTGGACCCACCATCCTGAAGAGGATTGGTGGGAGAATTTGGTGGGAGATTGAACTATCAGAGATAATTATTAACGTGATAGTTTTGTGTGGACCCGCCATCCTGTTGAAGAGGATTGGCGGAAGAATTTGAAGGAAATTGACTGTCAGAGGTAGTCATTAACGTGATAGTTTTGTGTGGACCTGTAATCCTATTGAAGAGAATTTGTGGGTGAATTTGGAGAAAGATTTAACTATCAGAGGTAATCATTAACGTGATAGTTTTTGTGGACTCGCCATCCTGTTGAAGAGGATTGGCAGGTGGGTTTGGAGGAAGACAAGGAATGAAATCTTTACCATGGTTAACCTCGCGGGAGTTGAAAGAGTTGTAATCGCTTTAACAATGTCGAAGGTCGCATTCCTCGATATTGTTGAGGTCAGGTATCATTGTCGCATCCGCGATGTTCGAACTTGCAGCGTTGTTGAGATTGGGAATGATCTTTTTCCCTTCCGCATGGGCATAACAGCCCTCGTCAATCATGAAGACTTTTGTCGGGAAGGGGCCGGTATATAAAAAGCCTATGTGTAGTACTTCTTCAGGAATTTGTCGTTGTAGGCGTCAAAAAATGCTAATAGATATCCCAAACATAGAGAAAATCAATCAAAGGGATCTCATATTGAAAATCAAAGCAGGAACGAACTGTCTCGCCAGCGAGACAGGCTTTGCTGTCTCGCCAGCGAGACAGTATTTGCTGTCTCGCCAGCGAGACAGAACGTCACTATCCGATCCACATGAGTCTAATCGACGTCGACGAACGACTGAAGTGAATCGACGAGTTACATGAGCGGATAGGACTTCGGAATCACGAAGACCCGGACCAATCGGGAAGCCCGGCACTGTTCACAAAAAGGACAACGCCCCTCGCGCCTCGACCACTCTACAGATAATCCAATCACCAGAGCGGATCGAACTCTTCGTCACGCATCCAACGCACCCGGAATCACTCAAATCCAAGTCCGGACGAAGAATCTACGGGGAAACAAACAAAATACACCTAAACGGAGTCCCGGCCAGTCGAAGAGGTGTAGGGGGTAGGTAAGGGGTGCGGACACCCCTGGGTGTCTCGGCCATGGCCGAGACACCCCTGGGGTGTCTAGGCTTTTCCTAGAACCCCCGGGGTATTTCGACTGGCCGGGACTCCGTTTAGGTGTATTTCGTTTGTTTCCCTGTAGATTCTTCGTCCGGTCTTGGATTTGAGTGATTTCGGGTGCGTTGGATGCGTGACGAAGAGTTCAATCCGCTCTGGTGGTTGGATTGTCCTTAGAGTGGTCGAGGCACGAAGGGCGTTGTCCTTTCAGTGCCGGGTTCTCCGATTGGTCCGGGTCTTCGTGGTTCCGAAGTCCCATCCGCTCATGTAGCTCGTCGATTCACTTCAGTCGTTCGTCGACGTCGATTAGGCTCATGTGGGCCGGATGGTGATGTTCATCGTCGCTCGTTAACGCTGAACCGTTTGTGGAGACCTATAGGCAATTTTCGATGCCTACAGATACCCCCTCCAAAGTGTTCCGGACTCGTTTCTTTTATAGAAGAGGCCGGAATACTTTGGATGTGATTGGTCTAGCCTTCAGTCGGCTTCAGGACCTGTGGTTAGCCTCAACTCTTGGCTCCTTCGATTTTCGGTCTATTCGATGCTTTGACGAATATCCGAGGTTCCTCCGGCGCTGCGTTTATCGTCTGGCCGTCGTCGGAGCCTCGAGTTTGCAGCTGATGAATTGAGTTTGGCTCGTGTCATTGAGTTGACTTTGAACTACCTCTTCCATATTGTGCTGGCTTAGGGTTTGGGATCATCGTGTGTTTGACTTTTTGTCACAACGCGTTGACTGGCGTTGACCTAGGGTTACGCGTTGACCGGCGTCGACCCTCAGGGTTTTGAATCGTCGAACGTTGATTGGTGTGGATTTTTCATCCTGAACGTTGACTTTTGTTGCAACGCATTGACTGGCGTTGACCTAGGGTTACGCGTTGACCCTTAGGGTTTTGAATCGTCGAACGTTGACTTTTGTCGCAACGCATTGACCGGCGTTGACCTAGGGTTACGCGTTGACCGGCGTTGACCCTAGGGTTTCGTTGACTTTTGTCGCAACGCGTTGACTGGCGTTGACCTAGGGTTACGCGTTGACCGGCGTTGACCCTTAGGGTTTCGAATCGTCAAACGTTGACTTTTGTCGCAACGCGTTGACTGGCGTTGACCGAGGTTTACGCGTTGACCGGCGTTGGCCCTTAGGGTTTTGAATCGTCAAACGTTGACTTTTGTCGCAACGCGTTGGCTGGCGTTGACCTAGGGTTACGCGTTGACCGGCGTTGACCCTCAGGGTTTTGAATCGTCGAACGTTGATTGGTGTGGATTTTTCATCCTCGAACGTTGACTTCTGTCGCAACGCGTTGACTGGCGTTGACCTAGGGTTACGCGTAGACCGGCGTTGACCCTTAGGGTTTTGAATCGTCAAACGTTGACTTTTGTCGCAACGCATTGACCGGCGTTGACCTAGGGTTACGCGTTGACCGGCGTTGACCCTTAGGGTTTCGAATCGTCAAACGTTGACTCTGATTGCAACGCATTGACTGGCGTTGACCTAGGGTTACGCGTTGACCGGCGTTGACCCTTAGGGTTTCGAATCGTCAAACGTTGACTTTTGTCGCAACGCGTTGACTGGCGTTGACCTAGGGTTACGCGTTGACCGGCGTCCATCCTAGGGTTTTGATTTGTCAATGGTTGACTTTTGTTGCAACGCGTTGACTGGCGCGTTGACCGGCGTTGACCCTTAGGGTTTTGATTCGTCAAAGGTTGACTTTTGGTGCAACCCGTTGACTGGGGTTGACCTAGGGTTACGCGTTGACCGGCGTCCATCCTAGGGTTTTGATTTGTCAATGGTTGACTTTTGGAGTCCCTCAATATTCAACCATTGGTGAAGAATCAGAGTGTTTCGGGGTTTTAAAAAAAACAATTTAGGGGTTCAAAACAGGTTCAGGGGGTCAAAACAGGTTCAAGACACCCCGGGGGTGTCCCGACAAAACCGGGACACCCTGGGGTGTCTCGGTTTTGCCGAGACACCCCATGGGGGTGTCTTGCTTTTTTCATGGTCCCCCCCCCTTTTGTCTTTTTCTTCATTTTGTTTCCCCCCTCTTTGTTTTCTTTCTTGTTTGAATTTGTTTCCCCTTTTGTTTTCCCCCCTCTTTTCAAAAGAGAATTCATCTTCTTCCTCCAAACCTCCTCCATTGTTTTTCTTTCAAGAGCTCCATACCCCAAAGAAATTCGGTTTTTTGTATGCTCCTTCTTGGCCGAAAATTTTCACTTTTCACTAGGGTTTCTCCCTCCACCTTCAAGCTCGGATCTTGACTCTTGGATTGGGGATTTCAAGCCTCTTGATTTGGGTAAGCTCCTCTTCACCATCCTCTTATTTTGTGGTAAAGGTTGCATTTTTATTCTTGTGGTAGACTAGGGGGCATGTATGCACTATTATTTCGGGGGGTTTTGTGCAAAAAGAGGTAATGGCCGAAACTTTGGGGGGTTTATTTGCAAAATTCGTGGGGGTTTATTTGCAAAATGGGACTGAAATTTTGAGGCTTGGATTTCATTCCCCTTTGGTAACAATTTGGATGGGTGTTTCATGCAAAAAGACCATACCTTATTGAGGGTTTTATGTGCAAATGTGGGGCCGAAAAGTTTTGGGGGCTTATTTGCAAAAGTGGCCGAAGAATTGGGGTGGTGTTCATGTAATAGAGGACTGAAGTTTAGGACCTAAATTACATGTTCATTTGGCCACAAGCTTGAGGGGTATTTTAGGCAAGAGGACCAAAAGTTGTTGGAGGGGTTTATTTGCAAAACAGCCCATAAATGTCTTAGAGGGACTTATTTGCAAAAGGCAGTGAACTTATGGCTGAAATCCAATGAGTTTTGACCACGAACTCATGATCAAAATTTTGATAAGGCATGTGGAGCCCAAACCAAGATTTTGTAGAGGGGCTTTTATGCAAAATTGGCTGAATTCTGCAAAAGGGCTCATTTGCAAATTTTAACCAAAATTGTGGGGTACCGGGGTGTTATATGATCGAATGTGACGATCATGACCCGGGTCACGCGTGTCCTTGACCTAGATTTTGGCCTTGAACACAAAGGGTATTTTGGGTATTTCACCAAAATTCACCGTGAAAGATGACAATCATCGTGCACGAAATTTGTAGGTTTAATTAGACTTCAATTATGAAATCCTATTTGTGTATAGGATTTTAATTAAAGTTCTTAATTTCCCTTTTAAATTTCGTATATTCATGTTTTAGATTGTACCTGACTTGCTGCTTTTCGTTGCAGATTTGCAATGTCTCCGCGTCGATCTCGTCCCCGGAGGAGCCGTTCTCGTTCACAGCATAGTGAGGAGGAGGTCCCCACGACATCCTCTCCCGCGGCTTCATTTTTCGGGGGTGAGAATTTATGCAGAGATTTTGTCTTACATCCCTGATTGACCTCTTTGCGGGTCATGAAGGAAGAACCGATACCTCTCTCGCGGAGGGTAAGGTTTCAGACTTGTTTTGCTTAGCCAATTCAAGTCTTCGGATATATTGGGGCGATTTTGTGTTGTCCTACACCTTATAGGTCGGTGTACGTTACCACGTTATTCACGTGATGACGCATGCCGTCCTTCTGGTGTAGGTCACTCAAAATCGTCTCTCCAATTATTCCGTGGATGAGTCTATCATTCTTCTTACGAGATGGATTTTCTGATTCCGCCCTTGTGCTTTATTGCAGTGGAATTTCCCGCGGGTAGCCTTCCTCCTCACGCCAACACCGGATGTAGTCGGGAGGTTTTCTCTTCCGCTACTCTTAGGCAGGCTGTTGGCCCACTTCCTCGGTTCGACGGGGATCGTCCAAATGACTCTTGCCGTTCGATACAGGAAGGAGGGCGCCATTGCTTGCGCCAACTTATCACAGATGCCTCCTTCACCCCTGATTCTACTTCCACTCAGGTTCTAAAGAAGCCGGGTTTTCTATTTGGAGATCATGTCAGGGATCCTGCCACGCTGACTCTTTGTGAGGAGCATTGGTTAACTCTTGACGGTGGAGCCTGTTTGTACATCCCTTCGATTCCACGCCACTATTCTTTCAGTCATTTGAAGGGGCAAGCCGTGGACCGGCAGATGTCTTGGCATCTTACTGAAGATGCTGATCGGGTTCAATGCGGATATGCTACTCACCATAAGACTCCTGGCTCTGAGGGGTATCATGACGTGCGTGGTCTACGACCCGGGATCATGGGTCTTGATACTGCACCCCCAGGCGAGGTGTCAGCTGCTGCTCCGACTGTGAGCAACCGTCTGGCTCTTCTTGGGAGACAGTTACCCCCATCGGAGTACAGATGTTATGGCTGGGCTTCCTCCCTAGCCAAAGGGTGGTGGGCGCGCATGACTGGTTTCGTCTTGGCGCGCTGGGAGAGGGATCTGAAGAGCAGTGGGTTGTATGCACCCATACGAGCTACTATGTACGGCATCCCAGTCAGCTGTCGCCATTTCTTGGCTTTGCTGGAGACTTATGTGCCCGATAGCAACACCTTCCTGACCAGCGGAGGTGAGCTAGGGTTGGCCTTGCACGAGATGCATTATGTTTCGGGTCTTCCGATGGGGGACTGTCCGTATCAGGAGTACTTCCCTACGAACCAGCAGCTGGAGTGTATGAAGAAAGATACTCCGGACATGTATGACACACTCTGGGATCTTACTTGCCACTACTACACTTCCTTGATCCAAACTTCTCCCCAAGCGAGAAGGAAGAGGCAGATCAGCTTGAAGCAGTTTGCCAGCTACTTGTTCCAGAACTTGGAAGGTGATTCCAGTGCGCCCATTCATGAATTAGACGTGATGACTCCTTCGGCCGTTAATGAGTTGTTGGAAAAGGCTGAGGTTCGTTCCTACACTATCGGCAGTGCTGAGGGGGCTTTTCCCGCGGGGACAAAGTTTCGCTCTTTTCTCCGCCGCGCACAGAGGTCTATAGGGTCCCGGGCGCTATTAGCAGGCTACCTTGCCCTTTGGTTGAAGAAGTGTGTCGTCCCGCACCAACCTTCTGACGCTCTACCCATCGAGGTGCTCTTCCCTGCAGTTCAGCTGGCTTATGGGAGAGAGCTTTCCCTGCTCCCAGCAATGGTTGCTAGTATCCATTGCGGGCTCAGGGGTCTGGTTAGCAGTTTTACACATATGGGTTCTGAACCATCAGCTGAGCTGGTTTGCCCAAAGGTTGAGCTCCCTTACGCATATTTGATGGCGTGGCTCGTTCTTCACCGTCCCGACTTGATGTCGGCCCCCAGCGTTGTTGACATCCCTGTCCCCTTCATGCAATTGTTGGAGCAGAGCAGATGGTTTGGGAGCAAATTTAGTGATGTTCAGCGAGAGCTCCGGGTCCGCAAGAGTTGGGAGTTCTTTAAGTGTTTCCCTCACTTTTCAGGTCGCTATGGCGACGTGCTGGTTGATGAGGAGAAACCTAGAAGTGACCGGACCGTTCTTGACGCTGGTTGCTTCCGGTGGTTAGTGAACATCCGTGTAGGCTATCTCGTCCTTCGGGTGAAGAACCAGTGCCACATAGAGCCTTATCTCCCTTGCCGCTTTGCTCGACAATTCGGCTATGACCAACTGTATGTCGGGAATCCGAGCCGCAGCCTGCGGGTTGAGGGAGGATTGATTGATGGCGTTCGAGCGTGGCTATGGACGATGGTGGGCTGTACTGGAGCTCGCTTTGCTCTTCCTTCGTATAGGCGTAAGCCACTGATCACTTTCCTCAGCTGCAAGTGGTTGCTTTCTGCCTATGAGTCCATCAGCGTGAAGAGCCTCTCAGAGTTGCAGTCCGAGTATGCGGTCCGGGCTGCTATGATGGCTGGTCGCAAGGCTGAGCTTGCTCAGGAGCGGACGAAGAAGAGCTCCTCCCTACGGATGATGATGATGAGACCTCCGAGGAAGAGTGTGTGGATGCAGATACCGGCAGAGGGGATCTCGATACCGGTTTGTCCTGTCTCTTTTAATTTTCCTTTTCTATAAATGACAGCTCTTTTTCATTGAAATGGCTATTGTCACTTTAGGTAGGGCAGCCAGTGATCATGAGCCACCAGCTCCTACACACGTTGAAACGTGTGATAGGCCTGCGCATGTTCGACCCGTTGGCCCTCGGAGGGTTGGTGCCCCGAAGAGGAAGAAGACTGCCCATAAGTCCCATGACGGTCAGCGTCCCTGTGGAGTGGACTTAGGGAGCACCGCCGATGGAGGGGGAGGTAATATTCAATTGCTCTTGTTTCAAGGTTGTTTACCTTTTGGGATTTGTAACCATGTTTTGTGCTCCAGGTTTCTTCGAAGAGGGCGAACTCCCACCGGGTTCGGCGTCCCCTGGTGTTGACAATATGGATTGCTTTGTGCAACAAATGTGCGATGCTCTTCACGACGGGTCCTTGGGCATCGATCTAAACATCGACCTTGAGCAGATGAATAATGTTGAGCCCGCAGCCCCTTATTCAGGTATATCCACATTCGATGTCATTTTCCTTAAGCACGGGGAAGGAAGACTTCCCGTTTTTGCTGAAAGTATCTCCTCGAGCTTTCCTCATCTTTCAACACTCAGGTTACCCTGCAGATGTTGTGATGGAGGGGCCAAGCTTCTCGAAGCCGGATGCCGGCTTATTAGCTGACATGTTGGCTGAGCAGACTTCCAGAGGGACCGAGAGACCATTCTTTGGGAATGATTCATCTATCGGTACATATCTGGTTCTTCTCCTCTTGCCCGATCTTTTATTTGACTAATGAATAATTGATTATCGCAGCGTCAACCATTGGAGTTAGCCCGGTATCTATCCCTGGCATATCCAGTTTGCCTCCGAGTGACGGGTTTGCAGGTATGCATACGATTTAGGGATATCGTACTTTCTTATGTTCATCCGTCTTTTGACTAATATATGAGTGCAATCATAGGACCAGCCACTAGGACTGATTCTCATATGACTCCTGGCATCCCTCAAATGCCTACGGATGACTCTTATGACTCTTGGCATCCCGGCTGTACCTGAGGACGGGGGGATTGCAGGTATGCATACGATTTTCTTGTCCCGATTCTCCTTACTTATCCAAATTTCCATTTGGTTAACATAGGAGTGTCATTGTAGGACCAGGCGTTGAGCCCGATACTGCTACAGTTCCCGGGGTTGAAAGTCTTCATAGCAGTGGTGCCTCCCCCCATGCTCTCTTGGCCGATACCAATCCAGATGGGGATGTCTTCCGCACTGACCTCGGCTTCTTTACTGCCTTTTATAACGGCGTGATTGATAAGCTTCTGCACAGAGGGTCTTCTTTTGATCAGTTCAGGCGTTCCTTCTCCCGTCACATGATGATGATGAGGGAAGAGGGATATCCGGATTTGGCCGATTCCTTTACAGCTGATTTCGCTGCCCTGGAGTCAGAGATTCGAGAGCTGAGGGAGTTGAAGGCTGGTGGAGCTCCCTCTTTTGCATCTTCTCAGGTGGAGGATAGGTTGACGCAGTGGCATGAACTGCGATCTTCCGTTGGCAGCGAGCTTCGATCACGTGAGCGCACTGTCGAGCAGCTGATGGCCTCTCTGGCGAGGAAAGACACCAGCAGAGCTGAGTTAGTGAGCTCCTTAGATTCCACTCGTGCAGAGATAGCTAGACTGAAGGAGGCCTTGGAACGCGCCGAAGAATCTGCCGCTACCATTTCTGAGGAACTGGTTGGGTTGGAGCGTTCTCGTGAATGGACACTCGACAGGCTGGGATCAGTGCAGGAGGGGTTGATGAAGCTACGACACGAAGCCGCAGAGGTTCTCAACAGTTCCGAAGATTCTGTCCGAGCTAGCCTGCAGGCGGAGTTCGAGCAGGACTATATGGACAGGCTCTCTGGTTTAGAGTCTCATATTCTTAGCCGTCGGTTGCCTTCGGACTAACGAGCTTTTGTTGTATGCTTTTGACTTGATTTATTAATAGAAAATCCGCATTTGCTTCTTTTGTGTTTTCTCTGTATCTCTTCCGAATGACAGATTTATGGGATTTTTGGCAAACCCCCAGCCATCAACGGGTTTGAGGTGCCTTTACCGATTACCGTTTGAATCGGGCTAGCATGCGGATTGTCGAAATCCGTTCCGCATGTAACGTTGTGCTGAGAGAGTAAACTCTCTGAGGCTTTGTGCTATGATCTTGAATACATAGGCTTCGTCTTTCTCACGGGAATAGACTACCCGGCAACGCGTGTTAGGCGTTGACTTTGGGGTTTTTGGCAAACCCCCAGCCTTCAACGGGTTTGATGTGCCTTTACCGATCACCGTTTGAATCGGGCTAGCATGCGGATTATCGAAATCCGTTCCGTATGTAACGTTGTGCTAAAGGAATGAACTCCCTTAGACTTGCTGCTACGACTTCGAATACGTAGACTTTGCCCTTGTTACGGGAATAGGCTACCCGGCAACACGTGTTAGGTGTTGACTTATCCCTACTTAGGATTCGGGATAAAATTCCCCATGCACCAAGTGCGCGGATTGGAAGTTGAAAGTTGTGTCAAATAGGAGAGGAAGAATTTTATATTCTATCTCCCGCTGGAAAGGAAACTGAGGTGGGAATCCCCACCCCCAGAATCCGGAAGGATGGACTGGGAGTGGGATCTCCACTCCGAGCATCCGGAATGATGAACTGGGAGTGGGATCTCCACTCCGAGCATCCGGAATGATGAACTGGGAGTGGGATCTCCACCCCCAGAGTCCGGAATGATGAACTGGGAGTGGGATCTCCACTCCGAGCATCCGGAATGATGAACTGGGAGTGGGATCTCCACTCCGAGCATCGGAAAGGTCCGAGGAGAGGAAGAATTTTATATTCTATCTCCCGGTGCTGAAGAGGAAGAATTTTATATTCTATCTACAGCTGGAAAGGAAACTCGAGGTGGGATCCCCACCCCCAGAATCCGGAAGGATGAACTGGGAGTGGGATCTCCACTCCGAGCATCCGGAATGATGAACTGGGAGTGGGATCTCCACTCCGAGCATCCGGAATGATGAACTGGGAGTGGGATCTCCACTCCGAGCATCAGAAAGGTCCGAGGAGAGGAAGAATTTTATATTCTATCTCCCGGTGCTGAAGAGGAAGAATTTTATATTCTATCTACAGCTGGAAAGGAAACTCGAGGTAGGATTCCTACCCTCAGAATCCGGAAGGATGAACTGGGAGTGGGATCTCCACTCCGAGCATCGGAAAGGTCCGAGGAGAGGAAGAATTTTATATTCTATCTCCCGGTGCTGAAGAGGAAGAATTTTATATTCTATCTACAGCTGGAAAGGAAACTCGAGGTGGGATCCCCACCCCCAGAATCCGGAAGGATGAACTGGGAGTGGGATCTCCACTCCGAGCATCGGAAAGGTCCGAGGAGAGGAAGAATTTTATATTCTATCTCCCGGTGCTG